GATGCTGTTACAGACAGCGGTGCTAATATCAGATGCTGACAGTCAGCCTTGGGCCTCGGCGGCCTATCGCAGCATCGTTTCCCTCTCCTCTGCTCACTGGTGTGAGAAATTATTTACATCCATTTCTTTTCCATGAATCAAAAATGATTTGTTAAAAAATCTTTTTTGGAGCGGCGTTCATTGGCCTTGTTTCCATGGCAGTGTGGCACATGGTTTTTTTTTTTCTCTTCCTGTAGTGGAGAGTTTTCTCAGACCCAGGCTGAAGCTTTTTTTTTTTTTTTTTTTTATTACCCTCGTGATCCCCTCGATTAGATGGAGCTAAACAAAAACACATGAACGTGTTCTTCCACATCCTGTGGCGTGACGGGGTTTGTCACGCTCCGGGTCTGAAACGGTGCTGTTACGTTGTTGTGTTTAGTCACTGGTTGTTCTGAGTCCTTTCACACACAGAGACTCTCGCACACCTAAATTTGGAAATGTGGTAGTGCACCCTCAAGTGTCCTTGCCTCATCCCCATCATCCTGTCAATACTGCTGAAGCATTCTCATCTGTCGCCATGACTACGGATATTCTTTCCCTGTTGTGCATGGACGCCCCTCCCTGTATTCAACCCCTTTGTCCTGATTGGCCCATATGCTGTGTAGGTGTCTAAGTAGGCCTTCAGGGAGGTGTGTTGATCCACAGGTTAAAGGGCCAGTGCAGCTGCTGAGTGAGAGAGCTTAGATTCTCATGGGGTGTTTGGAAGAACACAAACACACACTGCAGTTTCTCATGGCTGTCCTTACATTCACACTGCACCAGGAATAGGATGGAACATGAACTTTTTTTTTTTTTTTAATCGATTCAGGGATTTCTCAGAGTGACAGAAAAGTCGTTCTCTTTGTTCCAACTCTAAACAGTTTATATTTACATGTAAACTGAGTCAAAGATTTCCCGCCCGGTTACTAAGGTTCGGCCGGTCAGTGACGTCACCTTACCACAGCTTAATCAGCTCCTGTTGGACCTCGTTAGGACTGACTGTCCCCAGGGACAGGATGCTTGGTTAGTTATGGAGCGGTGAAGGTCGATGAACCTCGGAGGTAACAACGAGAGGAAGGGTTTTACAGTCATACAGGACCCGGGTCGACCGAGCTGAACCCTGGGATGGTTTAACGTTTGATCCGTGGCTGTGCTGATGGTTAGCTCGCAGGAACCGCCACATCAGAGCTGTGTTTTGGCAAGAAACTGGCGATACGATAGGTATCGCGATACAGGGGCAACGATACCATACCATACCTTACCTTCGACAGGCATGACTATATTTTGATTTTCCTTTTTAAAAACAACTTAATTGTACAAATTTAAAAATAAGATTGTTTGACTTTCAAATATATACAGTCCCTGTACAGTCAACTAGTGGTCGAACGGTTAAATACAACACAAAAATTAACTAATAATTTGCATTTCAATTGTTATTAAAACATTTATACGGTGCCGTAGAATATCCATACAGTGTGGTGAAATAATGTATCGCGATATTTTAGTTTATCGATATTTTCTTGAACCCCTAATACACACACAAAGACACACGTGTTTAGTCAAACCATTGCACAGGGTTTCTTATAGAGAGTCATAATTCAGTCATGATTTATTCATGATGTAGGAGCCAATAGAGAAGATGTGATGAGTCATCCATCCACGTTTGGTCTTGGACTGTGCTGCAGATAAAACAACAAGCCTGGATGACTGCATGAAGGGAGGCAGATTATCCCTCCACTCCTCAGAGTTTATATTAAATCAACACATGTAATTATCCTAACGTCATAATGGGCCAATTACCGTCCCCGTGTGGAGACTCTGGGCACTGTGTTGTTCCTCCACTAATGGCCGTGCCTTTTTTTTTTTTTTGGTCCAGTTGCACTCTGTTGTCCTGTGCCGTGCTCTGTGTTTGCTGTTGTGTTGTTCTACCTGCGACCCCTGAGTGGAAACAGGTCTGGAGGTTTATCACTAGTCCGACAAAAGGAACGGTTTAAGGCTCAGATGTAGATTCTTATTCAGGAAAGATGTGCTGCTCCATGTGCTGTCCGTCGTCGTCGTCGTCCTCCTCCTCAGTACCGTTTAACTGTTTTAGTTCCTGCAGCTACGGCTTCACGTGACGGGAATAAAACATAAGATGTCGCCTCTCTCCCCGCCTTCATCCGTACAGTTGATAAGTGGGGGTTCAATCGTCAATGCCGAGGCAGTATGGGACCACGTGACCATGGCGGACCGGGAGTTGGCGTTTAAGGCCGGTGATGTCATCAAGGTGCTGGACGCCTCCAATAAGGACTGGTGGTGGGGCCAGATTGACGAGGAGGAAGGATGGTTCCCGGCCAGCTTTGTACGGGTGAGTGGACCACTGACCCACACTGCCCCACAGCACACACACACACACACACACACGAACAAACAAAGATTTTTTACTATTATCATATGCACAGAAAGCGGTCGACACCGTGAGGAGGTACCAGTGAACGGACTGTCCCTGTTCACAGGAGTTGAACCACACAGAGAAACAGCTGTAAATGTCACTGATGATGTCATAATCCAATGACATCATGTCAGGTTCTGATTAATTAGTAAACCACTCACGTTACCTTTAAACAGTTACTTTTTACTTAGTTAAATACAATTATTATAATTCAGTTTTTAATCCATTATTTCCACTTGTTTAAATGTTGATAAAACATGAAATTAACACAGAGGAGCAGCTACTAACTAGGAAGTCTTTTTTTGTGACTTAGTTCCAGGCGTAAACGTCAGATACCCCCTCCGACCCTGCCTTCAGATAAACCCCCCCCCCTTCATGACCATCCCCACCTGTCCACACTCTCATGTCTCACTCCTGAAAGGGCAGGGCAGACAGGCCGACTGACTGTCAACCAAAAAGTTCTTCTTTATCTTCTGTCATTCTCTCTCTCCAAGGTGGAACCCCACCCTCCTCAGCCCCAAACAAAACAGGTTTTCTATATCAACCCCATAGCAACTCCACGGTTCCAAAACACCACGTCAAAGGTGCGTTTGCTCCGCTTCATCCAACCACCCACCCACCCATCCAGCCTGCCCGCCCGCCCACCCGCTCCAGTCTGTCCCTGCGATGTTCCCTCGACATTACCCAACATTAACGTTCCCATGAAATTACCTCATCCTTCTCAGTGGGGTCGATGGAGAGGCAGAACTGCTGAGTCAAAAGTAAAGAGAATCCCAGATGCCTCCTTCATGGCATTTTCACTTCAAATTGTAGAAGCCAGAAATAAGTAGATCAATCTGGACCCATGGTTCCGTCTAACACTTATGGTTCATCATTTCAAATATGGATCATTATTTAATTCTTCTTTTATTTATTTTTAAATTTTTTTTTTTTTTTTACTATTGACTCTGTTATCTCATAGTTTTGATGCTGCTCTGTTAAGTCTGGTCTGCAGTCAAAGCTCTACCGCCCGTCACTTTGCTTGTCTGTGGCGCTGCATTTCTCATCCTGTGTTTGACATTTAACCCGTCGGATCTTTGATGTTTTCCTGGCAAACTGTGTATCATCAGGTGTTGGCTGCTGGGCATCCACAACCACACTCACTTGGCCTTTTCAGGGGGTGCGAGTGGAATACATACTGTGTCTGTGAGTGCGGCTGAATGTTGGTGTGAGTGTGTGACGAGACTGTGTGGTGATTGACATTAAAAATCAGGGGTGTGTCCTGGCAAGAATCTGGCGACACGACACGTACCACAATACACTGACAACGATACGATATATTGCATCGACCTGCGATGCTACCGACACGACGATACATTGAGTTTGTAAATGTACAAAACACAAAATGAAGAAAAATGAAGTTAAGTCTTGATTAAAAATAATAGAGTAGAGTAGAGTAGAGTAGGGCTTTATTCATCCCCCGTGGGGGAAACATACTTGTGCAGTAGCAAGTGGCAGTGCAGAAAAAGAGAGAAAAGGAGTTAACAAAATAAAAAGAGTAAAAGAACTAAAAAGCAAAAAGCACTCTAAATTTAAAGTAAACTTTAGAAAATATACATAATGAACAAAAAATATACATATTGAGACAATAAAGTGGCAGTGAAGGGTGCAGGTAGTCAGTGCAATCGATACAGTTCTGTAGAATATCGTTATGGTACGATGAAATATCGCAATATTTTCTTACACCACAATAAAAATGTAATTTCGGTCTCAGACTGAAAAGAAACTTTTGCTCGACCGGACCAGACTTGGACGGTCAGGGGGCGTCATCGCTGCTCAAACTAGCCTAAAAATACAACCGTGTGTGTGTGTGCGTTATTGAAACATGAGTGATGTTGGTTCCAAATATAGAACAAAGGTTTTAAACAGTTTTCACACCTTTCCTTTGCCTCACATTTGTAACTGTGTGTTGCCTGTGTGTGTGCGTGTACTGTACGTCCGCCCGCGTGACTGTGTGTGTGTGTCCCCAGCTGTGGGTGAATCAGGAGGATGGGGGAGCAGAACCAGCTGAAGGAACCAGTGAGGTGCAGAACGGTCACTTGGACCCAACCAATGACTGCCTGTGTCTGGGCTCGCCCCTCCAGAACCGGGACCAGATGAGAGCCAACGTCATCAATGAGATCATGAGCACGGAGAGACACTACATCAAACACCTCAAGGACATCTGCGAGGTACTAAAACACACACACACACACACACACACACACACGGCAGGACTGCTGTAACAGCCAACGGTTGAAAAAACAACGACACAGTGGAAAAGATAAGAATAAAAATCTAGAAACAACAAGAGAAGAAGAAGAAAAGACAGAGTCCAGTGAGCTTCGTTAGCACTCCCACATTCACACATTTATTGTGGACATATTTTTCCAAAAGTGCAGCATGTCAGCCGCACACTGTCGTCTGCCAACGTTACTTGTCTGAAATATTTGCTCATCATATCGTAAATCGTGCCAAACGGGACGAGCTGAAGTTTGTGTCTGTTATAACTGAGGAGGAGATTTAAACGTGACAAATTGAAATAAAAAAAAATAAAAAAAACAGTCGAAAAAGTGCTTTAAAGAACACCAACCAGGTGTTGTTGTTGCTTTTTACTTAAGTACCAGAAATTAGTGAGACAAGAGTGAGCTCCGTGCCCTGAAGTCATCCTTCACGTTAATTACTCTGCTCATAATCAGAGACAAGAGTCAAGTCACTGGGGCTGAGGTGAAATCACGCAGCACCCCAGGAAACACGAACAGAAATATACTGTAGTACTCCAGTGTATTTCTGAGTATCTCTTTGGTTTCTGTCCACATGATGAAAAATATTCATTTTAGGAATTGGAGTTAAATGAATTAAAATGTATATTCCATCTAGCTCGCTAACCAGGCAGTGACTGGAGTCATGTGACCACGCCCATGTTAGTCACATTGTAGTTTCCAGTTTGACATGATAAAAACTTGAAGGTCACACACACACATTAGGTTCTGCAGACACACACGGTCTCTTCGATGGTTCGTCCCGTCTGACCTACAGTGACCTACTGTGATATCAAACCGTAAACCTCCCAACGCTCCTAACCTACATTCTTCACAGGGCTACCTGCGCCAGTGCAAGAAGCGCGTGGACATGTTCAATGACGATCAGCTCAAGGTCATCTTTGGGAACATCGAGGACATTTACCGCTTCCAGATGGGCTTCGTCAGAGACCTGGAGAAGCAGTACAACACGGAGGAGCCGCACCTCTCTGAAATAGGGCCGTGCTTTCTAGAACACGTGAGTCGATACGATACGCATCACGATACAGTGTAACCTACGATACAGGTCACTAACTCTGGAACAGAGGGATCTACATTTGGAATCACTAGAGAAGAAAGAAAAGAAAAAGAACATGAACCAACACCAGGAATATTGGACTGGGAGTTGGTGAGAAAAAAAAATCAATAATTGATGGAGGAGGAGATTGATACGGGATCAGGAGAAGGAGATGTTTCAGTGTATCAATACTTTCTTAAAAAACACTAACAGTATCTTGGTACTAGTTGAAAAACAAACAGACCTGTACACGCTGAACTGCCAAGATCATCTAAAATTACTAATAATTATTTTCTCCATCAGAACTTAATTATCATGAGATAACGATCGTGTAGATGAATGAGTCACTGACTGAGAGTATGGCACATGATGACAGAATTATGTCATAATCATGAATAAAGATTTATTTCTTTTACATCCACAGCAAGACGGCTTCTGGATCTACTCTGAATACTGCAACAACCACTTGGACGCCTGCATGGAGCTCAGTAAACTGATGAGGGACGGCAGGTATCAGCACTTCTTCGAGGCCTGTCGCCTCCTCCAACAGATGATTGACATTGCCATTGACGGCTTCTTGCTCACCCCGGTCCAGAAAATCTGCAAGTACCCGCTTCAGTTGGCCGAGCTTCTCAAGTACACGGCGCAGGAACACAGGTAGTTTGGTCACGTCGGTTGTCGTTCGTTGGTACGGTGTGAACGTGACACTGTAAACACTCATACATTTGCATATGACCTCTGAGGAAGTGATGGAAACACCAGCGTTCAGATGTTCAGACCCATGTGTTAAAAAAAAAATTAAAAAACACACTACAGAAACAAGAGAGTAAGTGATTCAGCGCGTCTCAGTCAGCTGCAGGTCATTCACAAACCAGACGTTCCCAGCCAGAGAGGGAGAGGTGCCAGCTCTGCCAGCCAGCAGTGCCAGATCACAGGGTTTGACTGGAGAGATGTTGAACGTGCCAAATATACACACACACACACACACACACATCAGCTGCTGAAGTGTGGATTGGAACCACAGTATATCTGAGCCAGGGGATAAATTCAGCTCAGTTAGTGAAGATGTGTTCGGAGTTAACCGTGGATGGAGGACGACGGCTGACGACTGCAGCTCCAGCTGTTGTTCTGCTGCTGCTGCTGCGTTCACTCTGTCTTTTATTTATTTATATTCTGATGTAATTCAACGCTGAAACACCTTTATTACCTGTAGTGTAATTATGTTCACACTGTGTCCGTAGTGACTATCGATACGTGGCGGCCGCCCTGGCGGTGATGAGGAACGTCACCCAGCAGATCAACGAGAGGAAGAGAAGGCTAGAGAACATCGACAAGATCGCCCAGTGGCAGGCGTCTGTTCTGGACTGGGAGGTAGGTGCTCAGAACCTGCTGCTAGGACACCCGAGGTTCTTCGTGGACTCTTCTAATTCCCACAACCTTTGTCTTCCTCCTGATCCTTGCTGACTGTCCAGGGAGACGACATCTTGGACCGCAGCTCGGAGCTCATCTACACCGGAGAGTTGTCGTGGATATATCAGCCGTACGGTCGCAGCCAGCAGCGAGTCTTCTTCCTCTTCGATCACCAACTGGTCCTCTGCAAGAAGGTAGGCTGTGTGTCTCCGTGTCCGTCCTCGTCCTCAGCGTGTCCTACATCTGAACGCTGCCTTTCTACTTTGAACTTGGAGTATTTTTTACAAGGACATAAAATGATCGTGACTGGGTTTGACCTGAACAAGTACAAATATTTTTAGTTGTTTAGTTGTAAGCTCCTCATCTGTCCACTGGGGGGTCACACTGAGAAGAGACGTTATTAAATTGTTCCTGTCGGCGATCTGGCAATACGACATGTATCACAATACAGAGGCCACGATACGATATATTGCAATACTGTAGTCACAATATTCGTATCGATAAAAACAAACTGACACAGTGCTGTAGAATATTGTTACAGTAATGAAACGAAATATTCAAATATTTCAGCGTATTGAAATTTTCTTACACTCCCATAAACTGCTGATGCTGCGGTTTGGACTGAACGCAGCTCCGTTACACACGGAACAATCCAGAGAAACGTAATCTGACTGTTACACACACACACACACAAAACCCAGTGAAACCAGATCGTTCGTCCTCTCCGTCTCCGTCTCCGCCCCGTCCTCGTCTGTTGTAGTCACATCTGGACTCCACCTCTGGCTGTGGAAACGAACCGCGGCGGTTCCTGCAGATCACACACACACACACACGTGTTCCCTCCGTTCTGGTCGGCTACACAAAGGCAACTCTGAGACATCTTAATTCTAGTCTTTGTTCTGCACTTCCTGCCTGGCCGTCCTGGCTGCAGCCTTGTGTAATGGCAGCCTGAGGGGTGTGTTAGGAGGAGCAGCCTCCTCTCAGCTCCTATCAGCACCTAGATCAGGCCGGGCCTGTGTGTGTGTGTGTGTGTTTATTTAAAAATCCCTGCTCTGTTTTTGACTTGACCTTCCTTGACCTTTTTTTTAACCCAGTCTTATTCACGCAGATTACACAACCTGTTTCTGTGCCAGGTGTACAGTAGGGCTGTGAGGAAATATCCATAAACTGAAATATCCTGATATTTCCCTCTCTTGATCCCGTATCAATCTCCTCCTCCATCAGTTATTGATTTTTTTTTTCTCACCAATTCTCAGTCCAATATTCCTGGTGTTGGTTCATTTTCTTTTTCTTTTCTTTCTTCTCTAGTGATTCCAAACGTAGATCCCTCTGTTCCAGTGTTAGGAACCTGATTCTTCCATCTCTTCTTCACTGGATTCTGTGAAGATTTCACTACAGAAACAGATGAATGTGTCACAGGCAGCTGCTGTTGCTGTTGTGGATCATTAGTCTGTAATCTGGACATGTGTGTGTGTGTGTGGACGCTGCTGCTCTGTCCAGGCAGCAGATGGGAAAGGTCGCATGACGCGGTCCGTCAGGACGTCGAGGAAATGATGCTTGTTGACACATTAAGGGTTCAGCGCTCGCTCACACACACACACACTTACACACAAACTAATGTTTTCTTTTTCTTTTCTTTTTTTTTTTCCAGGATCTGATACGACGCGACATCCTGTACTACAAAGGCCGCATCGACATGGACCGATACGATGTACGGGACGCCATAGACGGACGCGATGACGACTTCAACGTCAGCGTGAAGAACGCTTTCAAACTGTGCAACAAAGACAGCGAGGAGATTCACATCTTCCTGGCCAAGAAGCCCGAGGAGAAGATCCGCTGGCTCAGGGCCTTCCACGAGGAGAGAAAGATGGTGCAGGAGGACGAGAAAATCGGTTAGTCACACGCCTCCCACTCACTGTCACTGTGACACAGTGAAGTATTCAGGGAACGCTGCGCTGCACAAGTGCATTGTAATAACGTTTGTTTATTCCTGGTCCTTTCACCGCAACTGGGACGCAGCAAAATCCTGCTGCCGTTTATTTCAGAATGTGAAGCTTCAGCAAAAGAACTCAATATATCGTGGTGCCTGTAGTACCGCAACATATCGCAATATATCGTATCGTCGCACCTGTATCGTGATACATATTGTATCGCCAGATTATCGTCGATTATTCGTCATTCCTTGAAGGTTAGCCGAGGGTCAAACGTCTGTTCACGTCTGAGGTTTTCTGGGACGTTTTCTCGTACGTTCCAAACCACACAGTGATCTTCAGATGTACGCTGTGAGACAGGCTCGCTTTGGTCACGAACACTGAGTCAGTCAGGACACAGAACGGCTTCATGTTCACTTGAAAACACTTTATTAAAACAAAGTTGAATTGGTTTTTTTTTTGTTTTGTTTTATTTCATCTCGTTACTGTTTCGTCCTTCAGGTTTCGAAATCTCCGAGTACCAGAAGCGACAAGCGGCCATGACAGTGAGAAAGGTGACCAAACAGAAAGGTGAGGCAACAAGAAGATACCAGGTGACTTCCCCTTTCTTCCCTCACTGGTCTGCTCTGTCTTCTCATCGCTGTTTACTCTTTAATTAACCTACTCTTTTGTTTTGTTTCCCCCACTTTTGAAGTTTCTACACAGTTTTTTGTTTTTTTTTGTACCTGTCTGATTCTAGAACACCTAGATTTCCACTGATCTAGAAAAGTCAATAGAATAAATGTTGTCTCGGTTGAAGCTGAACTCCTCACTGTAAAACACTGTGGCTTCAGGTTGCGTGTCTGCCGTTCATTTATCTGGATGACTTGATGATTTATGTGTGTTGTGCGGCTGCTGTTAAGCATCAATGAAAAGACAGAGGGATGTTTGCATGAATTATTGACTTATTTCAAGGGTGACACCGAGTGATCATCGCATGGAGGTCTGTGTGTGCTGCTTGCTGTGAAGTGAATTATTGTCTCTGAAGACTTTGCTGACTTTTCTGTTCCTGAGAGAGATTGGTTGTTGGTACTGGTTAACAACATTTGACAACAAAAATAATTAATAATATAATTATGATCAAAAACCCACAGATGGTTGGAGGTTGTTTTATTGTCAACCCCCAAAGATTTTTTTTTTTAGATTTTTTTTGTCCCTGAAGACATCTTGGTACTAATGAATTAAAATGTCTGACATTATTTACATTTTATTTTACAGTTTTGTACATGTATTTGTTCAGTGTCATAAACATGAGAACAATATTTTTATTTTTTTAACATGTACAAAATACTAAATCAACCCAAGATTTGACAAACCCCCAGCTGCACCACTAGGGGTCCTTCTCTGAGTTCTGCTGTTAAATAATTGGTTCAATTGGAAACTTTTCTCAATTCTTAATGGAACTGCACAGAACTGCTAAAAAATGTGGGACAAATATGGAGTGGGACGATGTCGATGTTCACTGTGAGGTCATGGACCGAGACTGAAGTTTGACCCTTTGGTCGACTGAGAAATTTACCCACATATACAGTATATCAACCAACAATGTCTATCTGTCTCAGTACCAGAAAAAGATGAGAAAAACTAAAATCAATGTTTGTAGAAAACTGTTAAAAATATATATATATTTCTGAGTTTAAGTGTTAAGTGTTAAGCTAGCTGTGTTATTTGCGAATGAACCAATCACTGATCACTGCTGGAATTCTCTCTGTGACGTTAAGACTTCCCGTAGAATAAATGTGTTGTCTTTCCAAGTGCTGTGTTCATGGCTGGCACAAGGTGAAGTACTCTCTTGAATTTCAGATTCATTTATAGATTTCATCTTGAGAAAGAGGGCCATGTTGTATGGACATGGTCTGAGAATGATAAAGGTATATATGCATCAGAGTTCTCCTTAGACCCACCACAATAAGATGCCATGGCAACTGCTCAGCGTCATTGGGCGGTGTTTTTGATTTGCCCGCGTCATTGGAGCATGAACTCACCGTCCCATCTGTTTACAAGCATTATCTGTATCGACAAACCAACACGGAGACGCCGACGCCGTCAGACGGCCCCCGACAAAAACAAAAAAAAAATCTTAATTAATTAACTTATTTATTTATTTATTTTTAACCCCGAGATGCCATGGCAACTTGTGAGTCTGTCATCCTCAATCGATTGATTGTTGATCTACTTTGTGATCACACACTGGCTACACTGGTCGTGATGCTTGTAGACCGTAGCTGACCGTAGATGGTAGTCGAAACACGCATCAACAGCTTCCCGTTGGCTCTGTCTTCGCCGCTCTTGTGTTTTGAAGCCACGAGGGTGCTATTCAAACAAAAGTTGTTATTCCAGCTTTTCTTTCTTCTCTAGTGATTCCAAATGTAGATCCCTCTGTTCCAGAGTTAGGAACTGATGTTCAGATGGAACAGATATATCGTCGCAGTACAGTGGACCCCCTAGATACGAGCCTTCCATGGTACGAGTCGGCAACTATTGCAAGATGAATTGCTCCTGGTACGAGGAAATATCCAGTTACCAGTGATCAACCCAGCTCCATTTTTCTACTCGAATTTGAGAAAGTGTCGCCGACTCCCTGTCCTTCGCTTGATTATTCGACCTCTTTTTATAACAATAATATGAATTGATTGATGATATAAAATATTTTATATTATCAATATATATATATGTTTATATTTATGTTTCTGATGATTATATGTGGGGGGTAATAGAATAGTACATTTCCGAGGGGCTGAAGTGAATTAATTTTAGTTAGTTATTAGTTAGTAGTTTTCAGTTCTTTTTAATGAGAAAAAATTTGATCGAGACACGATTAGACTCGTATCTAGGGAGTCCTCTGTGTATCGTATCGTTGCCCGCCGTATCGCGGTACGTATCGTATCGCCACGATTGTTGCCACGGTATCAGTAATCTGTTGGTTGAATAGCACCGGTGGTCTGTCCCCCCGTGTCATGGCTGGAGCTGAATTACCTCCTAATTCAGCCGTCACCATGTGATCATAACGTGTCATGTGACAGGGGGCTACGATGTGGCAGCGTCAGCGCCGGGGGGGGGGGGGTCATCTGTTGATCTTTTTTTTTTTTTTTTTTTTTGCCTGTTTTTCTTTGAAGAGCATGACTAGATGTTGTGTCGGTGATTTATCTCTGATGCCACACTGACCTTGTCTCCTCTCTGTCGTCCACCTCTGTCTCCTGTTTGTCTCTGTTGCTTCTCACCCTGCGCAACCCCCCCACCCCCCCCCCCACCACCCCCCTCTGCACCCACCTCTGCTCCAGGTGTAAACCGGTGTATGCCCCCCTCGTATCCACCCCCCCAGGACCCTCTCAGTGCGGGGCAGTATGAGGTAACAGAGGACATGGCACAAGGAGAAGTTTTTGAATTCAGTCACCCCAAAAGAGGCCAGGCTCCGTTCTGGCAGAATTTTAGTAAATTAGCTCCATTTAAGAAGTAGAGCCGCACAGACTCTACTGAAGGACCAGATATTTTTCTTAGAAGCACTAAACACTGGACGATGATGATGATGATGATGATGATGATGATGATGATGATGATTATCTCCCATGATGAAGAAAACTATCCACGCGCACTCACACACACACTTTCACAAAGAGACTCCAAAGTTAAGGACCACCGTTGAAGAAGGACTGAAGACTTGGATTTAAAGAGAGAAAAGAAAAAAAAAAAACACTTCCTGTTTGTTAGAAACACTCTGAGTTTTCATGCTTCTTCAGCCCAGTCCACCGTCACCAACATCGTCCCAGCGTCCCTGGACTTCAGTTCACATCCTTTCACCGTGTGACTCCGCTTTTTTTTTTTTTTTTCACTACGTCCGGACTGAGACACTGAGGCGGCGCTCCGTCCGTCGTGTCCCGGCGGTTCGACGGCGTCCCGCGGCCGAGGCCTGACCGCGCCGCTCCGTGTGAGACCGAAGGACGACGGGCTCCAGCCGTCTGTCCCCGTGGCAGGTGAAGGACCTCAGCTTTAGAACCATCCTGCCGAGCATCACTGACTGGTCAGGTCGTCTGTGATGTCATTTGTCTGGAGCTCCGCCTCCTCTCACGTTCCAACACTCTGGACTCTGACTCTCTCTCTCTCTCTCTCTGGATGTTCCAGCAGGTACACAGTGACGCTCACGACGTCACCCTCTCCCCCCCCCCC